GGAATACTGTGACAAGTTGCATTCCTGGGCAATTTGCCTTATGGAGGTCTTAGGATTTCGATGCAGACATTGCAAAACGTTGAATACACCACATTAATCCGTCTTTGTTCGTGGATGTCCCTTGCGTTTCCGATCGTGTACACTTCCGGTTGATTTGAATTTGTTAATCAGCGCTCTGGCACCGGTTCTCGTAACACTCGTTGTACAAGTGTCGTTGAATTCCCTCACCGTCAGTGAAAGGTTTTCCTTGATTGGGTAGTACATCGCGATCAACGCCAAACGATCGTCGATCAACAGACGACGAGTATGTGAGCAAGCCATGATAACAACCAGTGTAATGACCATCTGTTCTTAATTCTGTTCTAATATACCAAAATAAACTGTCGTTATCCCCAAGTAGAGGTACATCAATCAAAAACAGTAAGGGGTGCGGTTGACCTTGGTTACGATTACCTTTTGTCAGTGACCTGTCTAATTTTGTCAGTGCTCTAAGAGGTGCTGTTTCGATTAGCATTCAACCATTCGCACAGGCTTGTAAGTGCCAATGATTCTGAAAAACGTAGATAATGTCTGTTGCTGTGCATGTGTATGGATACTATGGACAATTCAGTAAAAGGTGTATGGGAGTTCAAATCATTCCGAAAATACCATTTGTATTGTGAAATGCATCAGATGCATAAACCGTTTGACATTCAGTTGATAACCGGCTTTATCTCACCCTAGCATCATGATGAATCCAGAGCTCTGATCGATTGGAAACTATGAGCATTACAGTACGGGGTGTATGAGAGTTCAGATCATTCTGTAATTCATTGTGCATTCGAGAACACCACCCCCAGTTGGCTTAGTAGCGGATTGACGAGAACCGGGGGTACGGCAATAACGGCTCATTTGCTCGAATCCGAACATCGTGTCAGAATGAGTGAGTGCTATCCGTACTCGGATGAACTGGACGTAACACCAAGAGCATTACAAAACGTACAAGTCGGTAATCAGACAGTCTCATGTTGGGGTGAGAGATTTTAAGCGCCGCAGATCGCGGAATATGATCCAATCAGATCGCATTAAGGGTCAAAGGGAATTTACCTGCTTAAGGTCGCGGGTGAGAGGGTTGAGACGACTGAAAACGATGGAGCAATCGCACTGTATTCTTCGTGGTACGGCGATGGGTGGTGGTGGCGCAGTGGTTTACTCGCTATTACCGGCAGGTTTTGGACCCTATGGCCCGAGGTTCGAGCTCCGCCACCGCCACCCGACTTTGGTGATAGGCAGCTCTACTGTCTTCCGTTTCAATACCACGCCTAACCTATCGGGGCCTTATGCGGTTCACCATTCCAAGTCCCAGGGTTTAGGTTACTGGTTTCCATCACTGAACAGCAGGTCCTCGTGACTATGGGGTTTACCCCGTCTGCTGTTCATCACACGAAAGTGTGTAATAAAAAAGATACTACTCCGGAGTTGTCCGTTCAAACAGTCTGTTTTGAGTGATATGGCTGATTCTTTTCAACAGTGACACTCGTGCATCTACTCCATATCTTTGTAACCTTAGTCTACGTAAAGTCTCCATTTTCACGCCTGCACTGTTTTGAACATCCCATTCTTTCCATTTGTTCTACATCCAAATGGCCAGCCAAGAGATGTCAACCAAAACTGCCGTAGGAATGTGGTTGTAAAAAGTGAACTTAAATGAAACCTGATCACATTTGGTTTATCAGAATTGTAGACCATGTGATGAGTGACACGAATCATGTTCAACAAACATGAAAGACCACGACCAGTATTCATGACCGTGAAAAATAACATATGGCATGTGTTTGCATATACAAGCGTAGTACAAAGAGGAACGCAAGGTTTACCATCCATCCTTAATACATGCTCTAAAAACCGGAAAAAACGTTTAGCAAAGCGATCTAATATGGTATGAAGTGGAAGTGGAAGGGGGACAAAAATCCACTGAACACATTAAATAGATGAAATTTCAAATATACGATGCAGTCGACGATTTGATGCAGTCCCTTACCAGGAAGACGCAGTAACGCACAAGCAAACTGCGTAGTCGGTGCTACACTGAGGAACGAGGACGGCAACCAGATGATTGTATCGATTTTAAGCTACCACGTGACCGCTTACACGCAGTTTGACAAAGTACTTTAAGATTTAGGATGTCCACAGGTTATGTTGCCTGAAAAATGTCGTAGAAAAGCACGCAAAACCCAACGTCTGAGCACAATATCCAACCGACTTGCGTATGGAACAAGAATTGTTGAGGTGTGTAGAGCACTTACATGCGAACAGGTAGGAGCGAGAGAACCAATAATGAAGTCGACGTTCTAGGCAACCGTGCATCAGACGTGTGTGTTTCGGTGTTGCGAGTAGATCGTCACCAGCTGCAGTCAAGACTGTGCTGAGGATGAGCAGAGTATTGGCCGAGATCGCACGCAATTCGCCTTCGGGATCCGACAGTAGACGCCAGCATTCAATCCAAGCGAGATCGATCAGTCGAACAGGACGAGTTAAACTAGGACAAAGCTGAAGTGTATTGCGGATCATCAGGAAACGAAGTGAAAAAAAATCTAAAATTTATTCTCTCCTAATAATATGGGAAAAAGACGATTGGAAGACTTCAGATGACAGGACTCGTAGCGAAAGCGAGTGTTTATACTAAATAACAATTAGAAGACCATTCGAGTGTGGGGGACAGCTGGTTAGGAAGAACACAAATGTAAAACAGAATCGAAGTTCAAGTACTCCGTAGAGCAGCCGAAATTCAGCCCATCGGATGTCAACAAAACAGAATATGATGTAGATGGTCAATGTTTGCATTAGCCCATTCGGTTTTTCACACGCACCAGGCACTGTTGATGATGATGTTCGGTGTGGGTTTCATTCCTTGGGATATCGTTAATTCCCCACCATTTGAATGCATTTAAATGCGGTGGAAATATTTGTGATAACCGACAAAGAGCGCTGGACAGATAATTCGTCCTGATGTATTTCCGAAGGTTGATGCAGCTGAAAATGACAGGTTGTCATATATTGTCATACATATATGGTCGGTGGAGGAAACAATCTAAATTACACCGTCAGGCATCAGCAGCATTGTTGTCCCATTTTATTACACACTCCGCAGAACAGGCGAACCCTAAAAGCCACAAGGATCAGCTGTTAACAAACAACCGGCTGTACACAGGACGATTGAAGTGGTTTCGATAAGAGTGTTGGAAAGAGGTAACCTGTCCCCTACCTTGACCTCCCCACACACACTAAATTGAAGCGGCCAATTGATGACCTAGCAAAAGACAAAACATTTCTGTATATCAAACTTTGTTTTCAACACAAAAAAGCCATTATCCATGAATAATTTTTCAAAAGGGGTGAAAACCCACTGATGACGTGGTGAGTATCCGTTACGTTACAAAACCAACAAGGTTTTAATCAAAATAACGGACACAGAGTTTGTGTATTAACGTTTTTGGAGGGGTAACTTGACCCTCCCATTTTTGATACATGTTGTTAAAAATTTCATCTTTCACGGACAAAGAGGCTTCCTGTGTGGTTACAGTCAAGGTGCTTCTGGCGCGCGTTTCCGATGCAATTATTTTTTCCCGCAATTTATCGCATGGATAATTTGTCAGTCTTCCTAAAATGAATTTAATACCAGCTTATTCTCCTCCCCCAAAGAAAAAATTGCCTCGAAAATGGAAATATCAGTAATCCACGCATGGATTCACACATTTCCGAGTAGAAAGTCTGTGCCGCACGAAATGTATTCAAATAATTTAACCTTGCTCACCGTTTTCGTTTGTGGTCGGGATTCCATGAATAGTATCTGATGCCAATCCAACTCAGCTACCATGAGCATGAACTCTCGACGCACCAAGCGATAGGAATGTCGCGCAAGTCGAACCAGATGACGTGCGAGACACTGGAGTAATAGGGCCACCAGAGACGGTGAAGACGAAGACTGACCATGCGCATCAGGCGATTGCAAAATCGCATTGGCCGAACAGGCAAGAGCAACAACCGCCAAACGGACTGTAGTGCCAGCATTCTGATGGTCAAGCAGATAAGAGAAGTGGTGAAGTGCAGTGTGACTGGGGGACGGTCTATATTATGAGGCAACATGGTGTGTTAATTTGTTCAATGGATAAAAACTCTCATCAGGACCTGTGAAAACTAAAATACTCTTAACGAGCGTGCACGGGATTTGGTTTCGTTATCTGATGCAGTCATATTGGTAACTACACGTGGTCTATAGCGCTTGATAGAATCGTTCCAAAAGCCTCAATACGGTCGTGGATGAATGTCTAGGGTTTTGGATGGTAACCCTTCCCTCGCTTTTCCCGAAATGCTCCCATACAACCAAGTGTCTCAAATAGTCTATGCGGAGGAAGCCCTACTCACTGCCTTCCAGTGACTGAGGTATTTTCCCACCAAAGTGAGAGGAAGAAAAGCCAATATCCGTGTCTACAACTTGGTCGGTGAACCCGTGGCAGTTCACCTAAGGGAGTTGACTAAAACCCCTGATTCCGAACCAACCAAGAAAAACTACGAACCACACCCACACCTTCTTGGTTGTAGCAGTGGTCACCGGCTCAATTGGGCATATTAGACGTGTGACCCTATCTGAAGGGCATATGNGGTTCGATGAACTGGACACTGGCCCCCAACGGATTGCGGTCTTCACAAACTGCCCAGTTGTCTTGCGGATCAAACTTTGGTTAATCAAAAGCTATAAATTCCCCAGGAAAATTCACTCACCTTGGTAGTAATCCGCCCACAAGCAAATCATGGACCTTTTCTCTTCTTCTAAAGATGATCGTCTTGTGATCTGTTTGGAACACAGTCTGAGATACACACACACACACACACAGAGGAAAGCATGGCTCATCAAAGATCGCGATCGGAATTCCCAAAATCATCACCGCAAGTGGACTTGTGGAATTAGGAGGGAGAGTTGTGGATGTGTACTGTGGTGACATTCAGACTTGGTTTCAAACCATCTGAAAGGACGGCTGATATACGTAGGTTAACACAGAACGACATGATATGAAAAGACATAAAAGTTTTCCTACTCATATCTGATTGAAGTAGAACACAACACTGAACTGTACCACCTTTTCGATATTATGCAGCCCAGAATAGGTTTTCCTGAAATCCATTTGTGACCTCTTTTGTCAAAAAATACATGAGTTCTAGATTGTCTCAGTTAAAACTCCATTTCGGATGTAATTTGGAAAATATTTATTTTCTTGGTGTGCTGATTGGGTTGCAAAAGCTTGACTAGTGGTGAAGAAATATGTACCGAGGGATGTGTTACTATCTGAGACAAGTTCAGCTTAGTGCAACAGGCTTCATTAAAATCGATCTTGTGCACTAAGCTGATCTGTATACCTTGACCAGAAGTGGAATGCATCAGCATAACATCCATCAGAGTGGGTGTAATTACACGGGACATATCTGCATACCTCTGTCGACAGTATCGCGTCCAGACCGGCTAGAAGACGTCCCAGCTGCAATTGCACATCCGACCACGCAGGCCATCCCACTGCTGGATCTGAACGTACGGACTGGGATTTCAAGCTGCACGTGACCAAAAATGAGGAAATCACATTGCCTGCGAGCACGCACAGCTGGCCGCGCAATTGTGGATCCGAATGAAATTCCAACAAATCCAGAATCAAGGAGACTAAACGAAAGTAACAGTTGGCGCGGGGGATGAAAGCGGAGGGCGCACACACAAAGTAAACGCAGATTGATTGAGCAGATACGAAATTGACGTTGGTGCACATTTCAAGGGAAAATTGCAGTGTTCTTTATCATCAGATAACCGAAAGAGGACAAACCCGTTGCTAATGACGTTAACGACACACGAACAAGAAACAAGAATCAGTGTTGAAAACTTAATTAGATGGGAGGCTTTCAATTGGAGTTAACAGAATATCCAATGCATCTCTGTTCGAAGTTAAAAGGCCAACACCTGACCGACCGTTAGAGAAGACGATCTAACTCATTTGGGGCGGGGGGTGGTTGTGTCATGTGTGGTGTCAGGCATGGAAGACCGAGTGTTTTTACGAATCGCGTTTCGGAGCATGGGGGTGAGGAGTATAGGATTATGTAGGTGGATTCCGATCGCTTCCGCGACTCTAAATCCATTCGAACTACGACTGCGAACTAAGTACAGGGATCGAAACACCTCGACCACACTGATAACGTGGGTTGATTCCCAAGGGTGTGAAACGATCAAACTGGTGATAACCTTAATTATTCCGCTATTCAATCCTTGTAAGGTAGTGAGTGATACGTAAACCCATTTCTTCTCAACAGTAGTGATCTTATTTGGCAACCGGTGACGCCTTAAAACGTTCACAAATCGATCTGAGTATTCGTTTTGAAGGAAAGTCTCGAATAAACCTCAGTTCTGTCTCAGTGGTATCGTTTGTTGTTTTGGAAATAAAATGTGATGTGTTAGTCTGTTAAAGAATCACCGCAAATGAGCTTGTTCGCTACTGTTTTCTTCTTACTTCTAAAGGTATCTATCTCAGAAGTTAAATATACATTGAAAACATCAATCGGCAGTGGCGAAGTGATACAGGTTTCGACTCAATCGGTGAGAATGTCGCGTATCCAAATTGCATTTCATTTCTAAGCCTTTTTCGGTTGCTGAATGTACCCAGTATAGGAACAAGACCGGTAGGCAGACTGCTAAGCCGCGGCAACCGACTTTTTATTTTTTCGTTAGGTTTTAGATTCAAAAACCGTCAGCAATAATGTACTTTGATGATACACAACCTGTACGTTGCCTGGTTCCGTAATATATTTTTGATGGTGCGGAAATTGATTGCAGATTTTTATTATTAGCATTTTAGGTTATCGTCAATATGGAGTTGCCCGCTTCTCACGCTCATCACGAACAAGAATATAGTGAAGAAGACATCTAACATGGACGAAAAAGAAATGCCAGGTACACTTGGTACACTTTATTCGTGATAACTGATGCACACAGTTTGTATGCTTTTTTAATCATGTGATATGAAAAATGGAACAAAGTGGATCGTTTGTGAGGTATATGAACGCCTAGAGCTTCATGAACGTATTACCCGAGAAAAAGAACCGATAAGGTTCAGAAAACAATTGAACTCTGATTCGTCTCTTACGGAATGCAAACAGAAATTCAGCCTGGTGTGAAATACATAAATACCAAGATATTAGGAAACGGCAATGGCGGACTGTTGAGGTCCTCTGACTTAAACTGAAGACACTAAACACAACGTTAACACAGGTACGCATCGTTAGACAGTCACGCAGATGTTGGAGTTTCAATGCATAACTAACCGGACGGACACGCCCGTAACAGTAAAACTGTCACTAACAGGCGACTTAGCTTTCGTAGGGAGTGGAAAGATATGCGGAACAACGCCAAAGCAGACAAAGACTAAGGTAGAGTTGAAACTACGGCAACTGAATACTAGCGTTTTTAGCCACATTCTGGAACAACCAACAAAGTGCATGTAAAACAGTGAAACATTTAACAATACCAGACCGTTTCAGAACTTGCTGGTTTACTATAAAGACAACCAGTTCTTCCGTAGCTCAGCTGATGAAAAACATACCAAAGGTTCACCGAAGCTAACACCCAAACCCGTATTTTGATTCCGAAGGAGGAGGGGAGTTGTTAACGTGAGGCGAGCGAAAGCCGTCCGCAGATTTAACCAAATTGACAATAATAAACTTGTCAACTGACTCTGTTTTGAAGTGACGCCTTTTCAACCCCGCCTCATCAAACCTCAGAAGACAAGGTCTGCCTATGTCTGCGAAGATTGTTCAGCTACAAAACACAATGCATGCATGCATTTTC